ATTGATGGATGTGAGTTGGACTTGTATAGAGGAGATGGATTTTAATCTAGGTCTCTTGTATTGTTTTCTATAGACACTACTCTAATGCTCATAGTGGCCAACACTTGGGGGAGCATCGCCTGACTCCCACACTTTGGCCTCACTGCCCAACTCAAACTCAATTGAACCCCCACTTGCGCCAAATACAATGTTGTGGTCAACCCAGTTTGGGTTTCAAACTGTTATTTTAATAATTGTTTTTTGAGGGTTTTACCTAAAGTTACTTGTTATCTTCTCACTTACTATGAGTTGGTCAACAAAAGAAGCGTTTTAATGTGTGTACTCGTTTCGGAAGACTAGCCGAGAATGGCATTGTATCTTGCCTGTTAGTAACACAGTTTAGAATGACAAAATCCTTAAAAATGCGTGTATCCCACAAGCATCGATTGTAGTAGTTTCATTTTAACTTGCACCAACTTCTGTCCATTCTTACTTGTATAAAACATTTTTTCTCTTTCAGATTTAGCTGGTAGGGGTGCAGAACACATTCACATACAAGAACGTAGAAATAGCTGAGTTAAGTGTGGCACCTGACATAATAGTACACCCATCCCAAGAAAAAGCTTGTAGAAGGTCAATTTCACTTCCAATTAGTATTTCTATACTCGATTAATTGGAACCAGAGACTTCAAATCCGTTTAGTAAATCCATGAATATCTTGAACAGACGTGTTGATGGTAACAAATTCAATATGGGAATCATTACCTCATCAGGGAAGTATTTTAAAAAGGATTTCCCTTGGAAGGTCTGAAAGATGCATTTTGAGTAAAAGAAGCGTCAGGACCAAGTGCCAGCTTTGGAGATTTGCTGTGAAATATAAGTTATACCCATCAGAATTGATAAATTTCTGATGAGCAAAGCACTAGCTTTTGTTGGTACAAAAGCAAAGCAAAAAGTTGGTTATCTAACACACTGAACCCTTTATTGTAAACCCTTTTTTTCTAAAACTTTCCTTTCTTAGGTGTTATACTTTGACATTTTCAAACATGTAGAGTTTCTAAAATGTAACATCAAACCTTTTTGTTTATGGCTTTATCGATAACAAGGTGACACAAAAGGATAAATATTTTTTTTGTTCCACTCACAAAGTTTGCAACCTTTATTTTGCGCGCGTCAAGGCGTATTTGCCTACATACTACCAGGATAGAACTTGTCTATAATTTCTAAAGTCATAGAGACACAATACTCTGGAAGGTTATATATGAGGCTGAACTACGTCTTTTATATTCCCTTGAAACACTTAAAGTACCGTTTTTTGGACATGTATTTTGAGGCTAAATAGTTGCTGTGATCTTCTCTGAGTATTGATTTTTAGTTTATAAACTGTCCTTAACCTCTACGAGATTAAACATAACTGCAACTTGGAGTGATAGTCCAAGTTACAAGAGAATTCATTCATATCTTAAAATACACTTTGCGCTATTGCAGATGGATTATAAAAGAATACAAGTTTAATCAAATGAAATTTTTTGGCTTAAAAGTACTTAGCCATCTGTAACATATAAGAAGAGATATTATTCTTGTTTTACATGTATTGGTTGCATTAACTGTCCGTTACAAGAAAGGTACTCAAAATGTCTTCCTCCCAGTTTGATGTTTTTTATTCTATAAATTCTCTAGCAAAAACTTCTACTTTGGAATTACCTTATTGACACTCATGGTTCATTTGGCAATGATTTAATTACATTTCAACCACACTGTCGAGATCCCACGTGCAATAGTAAAAATCAATGTTTGAAAGGAGTCGGCCAGAATAGTAAATTTGGTGAATGTGGCTTCATCAAACGAAATTCATCAAAATATAAGAGAACATCACCGCTTCGGAATAAAGCAAGTTATCTCCAACTAATATCTGAATACACGTGGGCTAAAATTTCCCAAAATCCATAAAACCAAAACATGCAAATGAATTTCATTTAGCATATCTACAAAACAATGGAAAGCAAAGAAACAATAGGTCAGTTACTGTCACAGGACTATAATTTAGGCACAAGTTTGAATAATAGCACAAAATCAAAACTTAAGGTGATTTTGTCTCATAAAAATGTCCCATGTGGTCAATGATCAAAGTATTACACATTTTTATTGCTTTCCCTTTTATTAACAATTTGCATTGTTCTTCGAGGAATGTGATGTTTTTTTTCCAGGGCGCACGCGGTCTTGCAGCTGTTTTACCTGTCAAACGATATCAAATGACGAAGCGCGTTAAACAAAATTACAACGACGTAGACTCCATGCAATAAAACAAAACTAGGGAAAGCAAAACAAAGAAAGACTAAAAAAAATCAATAAACACAAACAGAATCAGCTCCATATAAAAAGTCAAATCAATCAATCAACCCGGCGGAGATAGATATTTTGTACAATACCAGACTTCATAAATTGTAAAACAATCTAATCGCACATGTCATTCAACTACTTTCAAGCACGAGGCCATGCATTGGAAGCATGTCCTTGTGATAAACCTACTTGTGACACTCCCAACTTGACTATCAGTAGCAGCAAGATCTCCCTTGAAACACAACATCATTTTGCCACACAATAAAGCAGAATTGTTTACATTAAAACTTAACTTTTTGGCTTACAATAAGACACCGAAATCTCTCGGCTTTATTGTTTTATATGCATGCCACTGCAGATGGAATATAGAATGTAAGAATCTTGGTATCTATATATATATATATATATATGTGTATGTAGCGTTCGACAAAGTAATACTAGAATGTAGCTGAGCATTCAGTGATCACTACAAATATGATTGTCTTAAATTATATAGCGGCGTTTGCAACCGTGAGTGCAACTCTCACAAAACAAGAAACTAAGAGCCCACTAGATATAGACCTTTTCTATGGCACCGAAAACGGTGGTAATGTGTTCCCTGGTGCAACCCGGCCATTCGGTATGGCGAAAGTTGGAGTCGATGTGTTGGACACGGAGTTTGGAAATGCCTATTCTGGATATGCACCAGGCGGTGTTGTTACAGGTATTTCAATGATGCACGAAAGTGGAACTGGAGGAGCACCGGAGTATGGGGTTGTGGCACAGTTGCCATTCACTGCCAAGTTTGACCACACTACCCAAATGACATTGACAAGACAGCAATCGGACACTGCAAAAGTTGGGTACTATGCTGTCAACTCGAGTGGTGTTGATATAGAAGCGACTGCTGGTGAGAGATTTGGAATCTTGAAATACAACTTTAAAGACAACAACGGCAGTGCCCAAGTTTTGATCAATGTATCGCATCACTTGACAGCTCCCGATAGGCCCTGGTGGACACAGTATTTTGTCAACGGATCAATTGAAGCGACAACAGAAGGTTATACTGGCTATACAACTATAAAAGATGGTTGGGGCGATCAAGCGCCGTGGACGGTCTACTTTTGTTCCAACTTTTCACAAGCGGCTGATTCGGTTTCCAGATTTGACAAGAATGGAGTTACAAAAGACCAAAATTTAGCTTCCTCAACGACTCAAGATGATTCGTTTGGCCTTGTGTTTGATTTTGGCAACCAAGTCGATGAAGTCGTCAGTCATGTTGGTATATCATTCATTTCAACAAACCAAGCCTGCAGCAACATCAACCACGAGCAAGGGTTTGAGGAACTAGTTGAAGAAACACAAACAGTTTGGCAGGATGAGGTGTTTAAGAAGTTTGAATTGGCTGGCGACAGTGACAAGATCGACCAGTTTTACACAAACTTGTATGGAACTCACCTCATTCCAAGCAACAAAACGGGAGAGAATCCGAGCCCTGGATGGACATCATCACAAGTCTACTACGATGATTACTTCACCGTTTGGGACACGTTCCGTTGCCTCAATCCGTTGTTGAACCTAGTCAACCCCACAAGAGGATCCGAAATTGTGCAATCGTTGGTTAATATCTATTCCAACGAAGGATGGACTCCCGATGGCCGCTCTGCCAACCAGAATGGAAGAGTTCAAGGTGGGACCAACTCCGATATTGTTATGGGTGATGCAGCCCTAAAAGGATTAGAGAATATTGATTGGGAGACTGCATATTCGGCGATGAAGAAGAATGCTGAAATGCAACCGCCTTATTGGTATGATCTGTTTGCCCCTGACGCTTCCACTAAACAAGGGAGAGGAGCTCTTCCTGATTGGTTGGTGTACGGCTACGTAACTAGGAATTATACAAGGTCTGTGAGTCGTACCATCGAGTATGCTTATGATGATTTTGCCTTGAGCCAAGTTGCAAAAAAATTGGGCAAGCAAGACGACTATGACAAGTATCTTACTCGCTCGGCCAACTGGCAAAATATTTGGAACAAAAATGCTTCTGCTGATGGGTACAACTACACTGGGTTTATCCAGCCACGCAACGCTGATGGTTCTTTCAATTCAACAAATTACGACCCTTTCTCGTGCGGCAGTTGCTATTGGGGTGATGATGAATACGAAGGAAAACCGGTTGAATATGGGTTTGCTGTGCCTCATGACATTGAGTCCTTGATTTCTTTAATTGGCGACAACGACACTTTTGTTCAGCGTATCAATGATTTATACCCATTGCATGGAAAGAAAATAGCTGATGTTGGTAATGAGCCCAGTTTTCTCACTCCGTTCTTGTTCAACTTTGTCAACCAGCAGTATAGATCAGTGGAGTTGGTCAATTACATCTTAACCAATGATTTCAAGCTGGGAAGCAAAGGGTTGCCGGGAAACTCCGATGGAGGAGCCATGCAAGCGTGGGTTATTTTCAGTTTAATGGGTTTGTATCCAGTTGCAGGAACCACCACATATTTAATCACTTCACCCTCGTTGAGCAGCATCAAGTTGCATTTGGACAATGGCGCTACTTTTGAAATCAAAGCCAACAATTTGTCAGAAGATAACATTTACGTGCAAAGCTTGAAGGTGAATGGCCAAGATTGGAGCCAAAACTGGGTTGACCACGACACTGTTTTTGGCGCAAGTGGGGGTTCAATTGAGTTTGAGTTGGGCAGTGAGGCCAAAGTGTGGGAATCAGGCGATGCTCCCCCAAGTGTTGGCCACTATGAGCATTAGAGTAGTGTCTATAGAAATCAATACAAGAGACCTAGATTAAAATCCATCTCCTCTATACAAGTCCAACTCACATCCATCAAT